TCCAAAATCTCAGAATCTTCAAAGAAAGTATTGTGCTTTTCTTCTAGATTTGAATTGGTGATTTAGAGGAAAATAATTTTGATACCCCTAAAAGAACCAAAAAGAAGTTTAACTTACTAAAAAGAACTGTTTTGAATCTTCGTAAATGACAAATCATCGCCTCGAATAAAGAATTAAATTCGTTGAGTAATATTACCAAAGACTAACATGACAAACAACAAATGATTCAAAAGTATTTATATTTGAATAATTTTTTTTTATTAAATGATATATGGTGTTATAGTTTTTGTTGATGAAAATACAAAAGTATTATTTTTAATACACCAGGCGGAGCAATGAAGAGAATTCAGTAAAAATACATCTTTATTTATTAAACATGTATATTTTCTTAGTTATTTCTTATAATCAGGCGGCTTGTTATAAAAATCCAGGAGCTTGAAATCCCAATATGAATATTGATCTAAATTTCAAGTTGCCACTGTTTTTCATTTAATAACCCAACTATTTAGTTTTGTTTGTTAAAAGACTCGGTGTGTAAGAATAAATATATATTAAGACAAATGAAAAATGTGATGAACAATAAATAAAAACCAATGATTTTTATTATGAGGCTGATTAACCATCAAATATTTTATGTTAAGTAAAATGTGTTTGTGAATTATTAACTTAAATGTTTGTAGTGTAATTGTGCTGGATATATTGCTGAAAATATTATTTTTTTGATGGGTGGAATATTATACGACAGCTTACCTACATCATGTATGATGTTACATGATATTTGATTTAAATAATTTGTTTTTTTGTGATATGGTTCACTGTTTGTTCTTCCATATTTGGTAGTTTATCATAGTTAATTGTTTTCATGAACATTTCTAGATCACATATTCCCGAATACATTCTTAAATGAAAAAAAAAACAAAATTGTTATAGTGAAGAATTTAAAAAAAATGTTCAGTTACATTGCAATACTTTCGCCAAAGCATATGTATACATATTATGTACGAGATCAATTTGATAATTTTTTACTTCATCCGAGGACATTAAGTTGTTGGTATATGGCCATTGATAGACAACCGGAATTCACTAAGGAGTCATATTTTTATACACTCACTGATAAAGTAAATAAAGAATCAACAATAGTGTAGTGCAATTTATTAATCGAAGAACTAAGTATAAGAAAACTAGTAGAGATGGATAATCGTGATGTAATGTATATGGTTCTGTTTTGGGTACATCCAATGATGCATCGGATCCATATAAAACTATACCAGAAGCAAAAAATGCATAAGTTTTTTTACCAATTGGAGTAAATAGCTATTGGAAGCTACCATTGCCTAATTTTTGATTGATGGATTATCTGGTAACAATAGAGCCAATATATTAGAATAAGCAATATAATTAACTAGCCAAACAGCAGTTAAATTAAATTTTTAAACTTTTGATACAGCCTCAGTTAACATAAGTATGCTTTCTACTTTAGGGGTAGATTTAAATAATATAACATATCTTATGAACTCCCATATAAGCGAAACAATATAGATTTTTCACACATGATTAAACTTATTTGAAATGTTTGGAGTGATTCTAATCGCAATATAAATTAAAAAAATTCAAATAAAATATTAATTAAGTGGGTTTATGTAGAAAAATTATACTACTTAGAAAGCAAAAATTGATGAAGAGCTGGAACTTAACCAACAATAAGATAGATACATTATTCTAATGAAAAAATGAATGTCAAACTAGCCGCTCAAAGTAAAAGTGTATCCGATGCTTTGGAGTTTCTGAAAACAGAAGAGTTGTATTTTGAAGATGTTGATGCTACAGTAGAATTTATGACATATATTAAAAACGCATTTAATATACTAAATAGTGGATCTAAATTTTCCATTAAGCCATATAATAGGCCTTTTCGTTTGAAACTGTTAATACATACAAAGATTTCGTTGACAAATTTACAAATCTACAAATTTCAGTATGTAGGTCTTGAATTTACTGAATATAAAAATGATCATTTTGTTCAAAGTTATTAAATAAGCTTAGAATACAAGTTTCTTGGTCTGAAAAATGCAATTAATTTAAATGAGTTTATTATGACTCAAAATTGTATGACTTACTTGTTGACCAACAATCATTTTTAAGATCAGGCGGAAACAATATTAAATTCGTAGCAGAGGTAGTCATAATAACAATCCTACTTGTAGACAATTTGCTACTGTTTACAAGAGTAAATCAGTGCATAGTCAAGTTGTTGGTTCAATTTATGGTAACTGCATTATCTTAGATGGTACAAAATATTTTAATGTAACTGCATCCAATAAACAAACCAATATTTTACAAAATAATGATGGTTGGATGGATCATGATTACTTTGACATATTTGATGTTGGAAATTGTATAGAGAACATAAGTTGTTATATTGCTGGGTTTGTAGCTCGATCAATAAACCACGGCTGTCATCTGCAGACTGCGATGTGCATTAGCATTTTACTCATTTTAATTATGTCTTCTTACTGCCTGTGCACTGTGCTGTTGTGTACTGCTGCACGCCGATCGATTGTCCACCGACTGATGGAAACACACTCATATACGACGGTACGGCCACCGCATCACTGATTAGTACAGCCTATTAGTCGCCACATGACGCCCGGCCACCGCCTCGACGAAAAACAACTTGGTTCTTTAACACGCAAAATGTCAACTTATCACATAGTAACAGTAGTTTGGATAGATGAAGAAATATGATGTATGACAGTCTTATTTAATACCCTGAATAGGGCTTTGCATATTTGAATCAAATGTTGACGATCTTAATGTGTCAGTCTGTTGTTTTAAAAAATGATTATCCAAAGATAGAATTCAAAGTAAAAATTGTAAGAGCTTATAGGTCATAATCTTAATACATACATTGTTTCAAGATAATACTATCATCCATATTTTATTTATTTTATTTGCTAACTGTCAACATTTACTATAGTTATCTGGCTTGGCACATAGAAACACGAGCACTCTATCAAGTTAGCCTTGGCGATGGCTGCTCAACCGACTATACACAGAACACATCATAGTAAAAAAGAAGGATTGTACGATATGTACGATTCACACAAATCTCACAATAATATGAAAAATGTATACTTAATTTTAAATTTCTTTTTGGAGTGCTTATATATTTTTATACTTTTATATTAGTATATTGACACTTGTTATTATTAACAAATGATTTATCTTGTAGTAATTATTATTAGTGACAACGCACCCAATGTGATACCGTGCGCTTATCATTATTATTATTATTATTATTATCTTTTCGTTTTAGTCAGTACTACACACAGTCGCAACACGACCACATCGAGTCCGCCGCTCCGTTGCGTTAAGTCTTGTAAGTCTATTTTATTTGTTTTATTAATATTGTTTTTTCAATTGGGAACAAATCTAGTTTAGGGGCCAAGCGATTTTTTCAATTTTTTTTTTTCAAAATGTGTGTTTTAAGGCCCTGAATTTGAATCTGTTTGAAAAAATTGTCGCTCTTTTTTATTACGGAAGTTATACCAAAAAAATCGATTTTTAAAAATATCACGGTATCGTCGGTAAAAATAGCCCAAAACGACTTTTTTTAAATTTTTTTTATAAATGTGTGTTTTTGTATTGCCAAGTTTTTGGTGCAATCACATTTTCCATATTGTACTTACTTTTGAAGTTATACCAAAAAAACCATGACTGTAATTTTTGAATCACAGTTAGTGAAACTGGTCCATTGGTTTTATATTCAAACAAGTCAAAGATATCAATAAATTTAAGATCAGACATTTTGTAAGATTTAAAACTACAGTATAACGTGACTTACTAACAGTTATGACAAATTTATTTTTCGATTATTTTTCAACTACCTACATTTAACCTTTCAGCAGGTGCGTATAGACTTACCTAACTTTTGTCTACGTATCCCGATTAATACATGGGTTTTTCTACGTATATGTTATAAACACTTAATAATCTTTACTTTATTTAAAACAAAATATTTTTTTTCAAACTTAGACCATTGTTAATTGTTCGGTACTTCGGTGGACAATAAAAATAACAAAACATCACCAATGTCCTACTTAAAATTGAAAGTTAGTACCTATGTTACACTGGTTACCATAGACCATCGCCACTTGCGGGAGCCTTTCTCTCTTCCCCATTAAAGGCCACTTCCGTTGTATGCATTTACAACGCCTATATATTCTTCTATTATTTATGAGTAAGATACTAATAAAGTATGATACACCATCCATGCATTTAGACTATCTAGATACAAGATAAAAGATACCTACAATATGAAAGTAGAAAAGATACAAGATACATGATGCTTTTATACTTCCAATTGAATTTTATTAACTCTTAAACGTGAAACGTTTATACACAATACACTTTACTGTCTATACATAAATACTTATAAAGTCATAAATATTAAATAATACAATAAGTCAATACATATTATACATTTATAACTACCACATCACTATATTATAATATAAATGATTAAATATTATTTTATGAGATCGAATATTTTAGTTTAGTGCATAATATCTGTACGACTGTAGCATAAGCCCCCCCCCCCAAAAAAAAATTCTAATAGCCCCCCCAAAATAAATAAATTAATCGATTTCTTAAATATTAATAAACCTTTAAAAATTCAGCTGTATTTCGACCTTTCTATAAATCGTGGCTAATATATCAGAGTCCTATATTACTCTTATTTTCTCTTTTCTCTTTGATACACGTTTTTATCGTTCGTATTATGTGCGCACTGATTAATTGGCGATTAAAAGTGATAATCTGTTACGGGTACACACAGTAACACAGATTTAAAAAAAGAACCAAGTCCTTTAAAAGAGTACGCTGTTACAGTAACGACTGCAGCAGACTTTGAGGATTGTTCCAACAGAAATGATTCTGAGGCAGAGAATTATTGAAAATTAAACGCATTTTTTGTTATCATGGACACAATCATTTCAAACATGAAATGTAGATTTTCTACAGAAAGTTTACACATTGCTACATTAGCTGATTGTTTGATGCAATTTGATTTTAATGGTAGTTTGCATCTGATTGATTATTATAAAGTAATTAAATATATAATTTTTTTTAAATAAAAATACTTCTAGACTTTGGAAATTAATTAGGTATTTAAGCTTAATTAATTGTTGTATAGTCCTAACTAATTATTTCTTTATATATTGTTATTTAGTAACTGATACAAATTAATATAGTATTTTAAATTTTAATGTATTTTTCAGGATTTATTTGAAATTAATAAATGTGATCTTAAAAATGAAATTGCTGTCTTTAAAAATTCATATTGCAATTATGAAAAAACAGATAGTTTTAGTGTCATTCAAGAAAATTTATCTCAAAAAGTATTCCCAAATTTATATAGGATAGTTCAAGTTGCCAATATATTGCCAATTTCTTCTGCAACATCAGAGCGTGCATTTTCTGCCATGAGGCGAATTAATACGTACTTAAGATCTACAATGGATCAAGATAGATTTAGTAATTTATCGATATTGAATATTAAAAAATATGTAGAAATTGATCCTGAGATAATTTTGGAACAATTCATAGTCATCAACAAAAGAAAAATGAATCTTATATAAATATATAATATGTTAATAACTATTTTACAATGCATATAAATAAAATATATAATTAAAAATAAATGTTGATATTAATGGTGTTTAAAAATTTTAAGATGATGGATCGGGGGGTGTGGGGTTACTTTTGGTATAATATTGAGGTGGGGCTATAGCCCCGCCTAAGATTTTGTGCTAGTTGCGCCACTGGACTGTAGGTAGGTAAACGAGCATACGGCCATACTGGTTAATTATTTTACCTTAATTTTATTTTATGTTTCTAAAATTATCTTTTTTTTTTTTTTTTCGGGTTTAATCGAGAACCGGAGGAGGAACCGCGTTAGCATTACTTCTCCTCCGGCCCCCATCGTTTATTGACTTAGATACAAGTTATAACAAGTTACATCAATAACTACATCGTGAAATTGTCCCCACGGACTGGCAGGCTTTCGTCAGCGACTGCTGGTATAATATGTGCCTGCCAGCGGGTGGAACCCGGGGGACATACAACAAACAACAACAAACAAATTTGGCATCGTAGAGGTCGTATCCGTTGGCGATGCCCGACTTCGTGACCCGGCGATAGCCCGCCGGCCTTGACTTCTCGTGCCATCCTTCTTCCCGACCCGGTCTTAGCCCGCCGGTCTCGCGTCCCGTTCATCGCGCCTGTTCTTCGCGGCCCGGCGCTATGGCCCGCCGGCCTGGAGGTCTCGTGCTGGTCATCTCCTCCTCCTTCGTCGTCTGGGTTCGAACGCCTGCCGAACTCTCTCCTCCTCTTCCTTGAGAGTCATGATGGACTCTACCATCCTGTAGAAGAGACGCAGCCTTTCGCCAGCCTCGGCCAGGAGGTTGGCCCGCTCCTCGGGGTCCGCAGGGAGGAGGTCAAAGTCTGGCCCACAGAGTATGTCCGGAATATCGTCGGCTGCCAGCTGGTGCCCAAGCCGAGCTTCTAGGTCGGTTCGATGACCCCTCCAGTACTCGCACTCGAACAGTGTGTGCTCTGCCGTGTCCGAGTTCCCCGCGCAGTGTTTGCACGCGGCGCTGGGGGCCCTGCCTCGTTTTGCCAGGTACTGCTGAAAGCACCCGTGGTTTGTCAGCGCTTGGGTCATGTGGTAGGTGAGTGGCACCCTCACCACGGTTCCCTCGATCCACCTCTTCACGCTGGGGATCAATTGACGGGTCCAGGCCCCTTTCTCGCTGGTCTCCCATCTGGTCTGCCAGAGCGCGAGGGTCACCCGTCTCTCCTCACGCTTGATTGCTGATTTCGGCGGGCGCGCTACTCCGGGGTCGACCGCTGCGGATAGCCGATCCCTGATTCTGGTTCTTTCGAGAGCAACTAGATCCGCCGGCGGCCAGCGCGCCAGCAAAAGAGATGCCTCGTCGGAAACCGTGTGGTAGGCCCTTATGACCCTCAGGGCGGCAGCTCTCTGGGGCCGGATAAGGTTCGCCGTGGTCCTTGCGGTCTTAGATACCTGGCTGGCCCCCACCGGAGACGCGTACAATAGTTGGCTCTCGACCACCGAGGAGAGGAGTCGCCGCTTCCATTGGCACGGGCCCCTTACGTTCGGCATAATCCTGGCCAAGAACGCAGCCGTACGGGAGGCCTTCTCTGCTACGGTATCGGCGTGAGGCGCGAAAGTCAGACCCTGGTCTAATATCACGCCAATGTATCTTAGTTTCCTGGTCAGAGCTATGTGGTGACCTCCCGCCACGAGGCGAGGGGGGACGAACGCGCGCCTATTGGTCAGAAGTATCGCCTCGCTTTTGTGGTGGACGAGCTCAAGGCCCCTATTAGCCATCCACCTATCGATCGCCTCCAGGGTGGGGTTGACGGCGTCTTCGAGGAGCTGGCCGATCCTGGCCACTCCGACCACCGCCAAGTCGTCGGCCCAACAAGTTTTTTACCCCTCAAAAAGAATTAGTTCACTGGATAGCCACGCTATTTATACCCATAAGATATTTTTCATTTTTTAACTATTAAATTCGATTATTTATACATGTACGACACAACTTCTCCGTTAAGATGAAGTTTTTCGTATTCAATGATTTATCATATAATTCAAATATAACACATCCATTAAATGCTCGACAGCAGAGCGGTACCCACTTGACCACCTTTTTTATAACTAATTCCATTTCAAAGTGATACTGCTCAGCGTATGTATGATATAGTATAAATATTATATTTTTCATAAAGTACCAAGTACTATACATTGCAAATTTGATTGATTTTGTGTCCGATGGAGTTAACGTAATGACAGGGAACAAGAACTATCTTAGAACATTACTGCATAAAGATATACCTAATATTTTTGGTATTAAATGTTTCCGTCGTGGTGAAGTGTGGTTTAGTTGTTGAGGATATTGCGAGCTTCAGCATGTTTGGGGTAGTTGATGACCATATGTTATATTGTTTTAAATTGCATTACGAGTGTCGAATACTACTGCTGGTTCCTTCCTGATAAGATATGCATGTGTTGGGTTGGAGTGGCCTATTTTGGCAAAGGTTAGTTACTTCCTCTCTTCATTTTTGTGTCAGGAGGGTATTTTCATTGTTTTAAAAAAGTTTTACATGCCTTGCAAATTTGCCTTGCAGATTTTGCATGCCTCCTGACAGCAGCCGCCCTAGCCACAGCTACGCTGAGCGATCTTCGTATTTCAGGAGTGTATATAGGTACCCTCCTGTAGACGACATCAGACTTCAGTTCGGCAAATCCAGATCATATTTGTTAGTGTACACCTGTATCAAAATTGAAAGTCAAAATAGCAGGACGGCCCTTATTTAGCCAATATCTTTGGCGCCGAGTGTGAACTCTTTTGAGCTCTCTCCCATCTAAACTCAAAATCAAATAAAAAGTATAACCCCTAACCTAATAATACACTAATTTCCACATCACCCTAAGGAGGTATGGTGCACTAATGTGGTTTTTTTAACGTGGTCTCCCCTATAGGCCTAATCCACGAACCAACGACAAAACAACACTAACTAGCCGAAAAAAAAAGGAAAAAAATATCACGTGAAATGGTCACACCGAACCACACACTGTGCCACGCGTTTGCCTCGAACATTTCGGCCCTAAACTGTATTAGCCGAGTAGGTCTTCCAGGTTGCCTACAAATGTCCAATTAGACCTAAAAAAAAACAAAATTAATATTCCAATTCTACAAGAAATACATGCGCAATGACAGTTAACATGCATGGACTGATGAGATCGAGGGATGACAAATTGCAGTGGGATGACTTCCACTTCGGTGTAAATAAGTTTCTTTAATACACTTTTTACAAAATCGTAGTCTGGGCTACGCCGGCAAAGAGCTTTAACCAAGGCAAGTTTGTAGCTGTGGCACATAACGTAGACCATATATACGTCGATATCGGGAACCGTTCCAGCGACGGATAGCCGGCCCAAAGTGCCGTGGGAATGGGCACCGTACTCGCGTGTCAAGTGTTTCAGCTTGAACATGTGCCCCACAGTAACGGAGCTGCCCATTCCCCGACTAAGCGAGACGTGATGTTCAACCATTCATTTTCTGCCTGCATACACAATAAACACAGCTATGAAACTTTGAAAACGAGAATAAACAAACAAAAAAAACTTACTTCAGGGCTACACTGAAGGAAATCAACTGTCATAAATTTTAAAATGTAGCAGATTAGTTCTCTGACGAAACGCCCAACGGAAACATTGCCAAAACAATCATGTGGCAAAATCGCCTTGAATCGTCCAACAGCCGTTGGATTATACTGGCAGAAGCCGTTGGCATCATATCTAGAACGACGACTCTGGCCGGGCCTCAACTGCCGCCGGGGAACAATTGACTAACCCTTTTGCTGTCGATTTCCAGGTCGTAGGTTTCGGCAGGGAGCTAAACAGAAGATATAAAACATAATGATGATTTTAAAAATGTTGAAAACAATAATGTGCTCTATGAAAAAATACTTACGTCTCAGTTGAAACTGCTGGTGTCAGCCAACCAGACAATGCCCCGCAACTTCCTTAACGCAGAAGTCATCCTCTCGTCGATGTAACCTGGCCAATTTTTTGATGACTTAAGCAACACATCAGAGCCAAGGCAAAAGTCAAGCCCCCTAGTCCGGAACAAGTGACAGTTAGGGAATCCACATAAAACCATAGAGCAATATAGAATAGAAACTCGATCAGCTGATTGGGGTCTTGTTTCCCTATGATCTGAAGTCTGAACGTCCGAAAAACATGGAAACGTTTCCACACACCAACATTATGTTAGACCCAATGTCACCCATATTATGTAACGTTGAAGATGGTAACGCGGGGTCGGCTTGTTTACCATTTCCTATTTCACATATGTCACGCCCCCCCCCCCCCCCCCGGGAGACATTGCTTAAGGCCACAATTGCCCGATTCAGCCAATTCACGGAGTTTTATACCTCTGATAAAACATAATGGAGTTTTATTTCAGTTACCAATTTATGAATGTGTCGGACAAGCTAATTTTTTGGGTAGGGGTTTGAGATTGATGAGAATAGGGCGATCAAAGAGTAACTGATAATGATGTTTCTGCTTATTGTGTTAGACGACGAGATGATTTGTAAGTGCTTCGTAAATAGCATAGGTTTTAGATGTATACATACCGGAGCACGGTATTAGTTGGAAAATATTGTTTTCTTGGTCCGTGATTACAGCAAATTGTACAGCCATTTTTTATTTTGGAGGCGTCAGTGTATATTTTTTTATATTTCGGGTAGTATTGAAATATTATTTCAGAAAAAAGGTTGGTTATAATTAAATTATACTATTTTCGGTATTCGGTCAGTTGAGGATTGATTTTTGGCAACCAGAGCCGAGGAGGGAGATGACTGAATTTTGTTTACAGAATAAGATTGGTTGTCACTTTTTATTTTAAAGTTTCCAAATATTGTGCTTCGAGTGGACAGTTCATTGATGGGTAGAGGGTTATGGAAGATATTTTTGGTAATGTGATGTGTCACATATTTTAAAGTGTGATTTCGGCGTCTGTAGTGTAGGGGGGGTTCTCCTGCGTAAAAAAGTATACTATAAAGGCTCCTATTTCTAAACCTATACTTGGGATGCGCATAGGATCTAGATTATTTAGGTCTTTTTTTTTTTTTTTGTTGAATTGTAGATGATATAATCAAGTTATGAAAGTATAGGTGCTTTGTAGATTGTGATAAGGCTCTTTTTATCAGATCCCCAGGTGCTATTTCTGAGTATTATAATCCTCTTTAATCTTGATGGACATTCAGTTTTTAGTTTTTTCATGTGTGGTTATCAGGTAAGTTTGTTGTCGAAAGTGAGGCCCAGGATGCGGATACTATTTGCAAAATAAAGTTGTGTATTCATGAAGTGTATTGTTATTTACGGATCATTCTTCGTTTTGTTGAAAAAAATACACTGAGTTTTTGTATAAGAAAAACTGAAATTGGTTTCCGAAAACTATTTTTAAAGAGAGCCAAGTGCTTGTTTTAGAAAATGGGTGGTTATTTTAATTTTTGATCCGCTGCATTAAATATTGCAGTCATAAAAGAATACAATACATTTAACAGGATTGGGTAGGTATTTGCATAGGTATGTAATTTATGGTTAGCAGAAAATGTGTGACATTGAGTACAGATCCTTGTGGGAGTCCATTTTCGGTCTGTAGGAAGTTTTTTATTAAGTTGAGGAGGTTGCCGTTAATTTTCCATGAGTGGAGCGTTGTTAGTACTCTTTTTTTCCAGACAGTGTCATACGCTTTTGAGATATCCAATGCTATTCTGATAAGGTGTTGGTTGCATCTGAATGCTAGGCTAATCTCAGTGTGTAACGTAGATAAAGCATCTATTATTGATAAGTCTTCATTATTTTTTTTGAAATATGATACAGATTTTATGCCGGCGCAGTAATTGGCTCGTCAATGATGATTTTCTTCGGGATAGCGGGATAAAAGTTCGTTAGTATAATACGTTTGGATATACTCAGTAGTTTGAGTATCGGTATTTTTATGTTATCTATAAAAATTGCCAAATGCTTATTGATTAAGTAGTCGACTATTTGTTGTCTTTTGAGGAAAATATAAAATCTATTATAAGAAATGCGTGAGGCAGAGATAATGTTTGTTGCTTCGGTAATTTGATTCAGTGCAATAATATATTGAATTTGTTTTATGCCTTCTAGTGAATTTAGGACTATGGCTTAGTTCATTTTAGGCATTAATGTAAGCTGTCGTTTCCGCAAAGCATTTGACGTGCATGTTATCTTTAGGAACTTCTGGAGTGGGGAGAGACTCATTAGTAGTTTTTGGAGTAAGTTCGTATTGAGGAGACATTTTTCTATTTTTAGCATTTAATGGGGCTGATTTGTTTAAAGCATTAAGTTTTTCGTTGAGTGATAGCCTTGTGGGTTCTTAAATGCATGGTGTTATGCGGTGTGTTTGATAGGCTATTACTCATAATGAGTTTTTCCGTTTTAATGTGTATGTTTATATTATAGTATTATTTTTCGATTAAAAAGTTTATTACTTAAATTAGATATAAACATACTACCGTTGGGGTCCCGTACTGTGTTGTCTATCGAAAGATAAAATACGGACGTGATAAAGAAACACGCGTGTTGCTCGGTCGGGAGTCAAACACGAACTGGATAATATTTTATATTTAATAATGTATATTATTACCTTTATTAAACAATTTAAATATACTTATGCGCATGTTTACTGTCGGTTAAAACTCAAAAGTGTAAGAAGACACTTAGTTATAAGGAGTTATAAGTGATTTCTTGGAAGTCCTCATTTCGAAGGTGGATATGTTTATAGTTTAAAGTTACAAGTTTTTTTTTTTAATTTGAGCGTCTACCAATCTGTAATGATTTATGCCCAGTGTAAGTAAATCAGTCGGTAAACGGGCTGGAATTTGTTCCCCCAGTGTCTGTCCAGTGCTTTTTAGTATGTAAAAAAGTTTTAAATCGAAACAATTAGTTTTTTTCTATGAATGTCAATTAAATATTATTTGTTGGGTAAAAAGCTTGAATACTTAATACAAGGCTCCTAATATATGGTTACTACGATATTTGAAAAATATTAAAAATCAAGTCACAATTTTTTCTATAAGCATTTTTTTTTTTTTTACAAGAAATATACAATATATACATATTATGCACAATAAGTATATGTGAGATTAAAGAAAAGACATGAGGTGATGTGAATAATTAGGATTTAAAGTTCAAATTTGACACCCGCGGTCCTGGTGACCCTGCAACAGTTGTCGACTAGTGTCGACCGTGGCACTCAACGTGTTAATGCATGGTGTTATGCGGGTGTGTTTGATAGGTCTTACTCATAATGCGTTTTTCCGTTTATGTGTATGTTTTATATTATATTCTTATTTTTCGATTAAAAAGTTTATTACTTAAATTAGATATAAACATACTACCGGTTGGGTCCCGTACTGTGTTGTCTATCGAAAGATAAAAATACGGACGTGATAAAGAAACACGCGTGTTGCTCGGTCGGGAGTCAAACACGAACTGGATAATATTTTATATTTAATAATGTATATTATTACCTTTAATTAAAACAATTTAAATATACTTATGCGCATGTTTACTGTCGGTTAAAACTCAAAAGTGTAAGAAGACACTTAGTTATAAGGAGTTATAAGTGATTTCTTGGAAGTCCTCATTTCGAAGGTGGATATGTTTATAGTTTAAAGTTACAAGTTTTTTTTTTTAATTTGAGCGTCTACCAATCTGTAATGATTTATGCCCAGTGTAAGTAAATCAGTCGGTAAACGGGCTGGAATTTGTTCCCCCAGTGTCTGTCCAGTGCTTTTTAGTATGTAAAAAAGTTTTAAATCGAAACAATTAGTTTTTTTCTATGAATGTCAATTAAATATTATTTGTTGGGTAAAAAGCTTGAAAACTTAATACAAGGCTCCTAATATATGGTTACTACGATATTTGAAAAATATTAAAAATCAAGTCACAATTTTTTGTATAAGCATTTTTTTTTTTTTACAAGAAATATACAATATATACATATTATGCACAATAAGTATATGTGAGATTAAAGAAAAGACATGAGGTGATGTGAATAATTAGGATTTAAAGTTCAAATTTGACAAAGTACTTAAAAAAAAAACGAAAATTTGCAAATTATTTTGAGTTATAAATTCATAAAATGTTTTCTTTTTAAATCTGAGATTTGAAATAGTAATACAAGATTCCTCATAGGTTTTTCTTTATCAAAAAAAATGTCTACAAGAAAGCCAAATTAAATTTTTATGAGCGTTTTAAAGTTCATATTTTTACAACATTGGATACCGCTATTCACTCAAAATCTCATGTAACGATTTTCTTATTTTGTTATAATTCAAAAACGAAAAACTGTAGATACATGACAATTTCACTAATCGTTTTTATTTTTACACTATACAATTTTGAAAATATTTTGACTCGTTTTGATCTGTTTACGGATATTTTCAATTTTCAATTTTTTTAGTTTTTTTTTTCCATAA